CGGGGCGCGCAGGAGCGACTTGCGCTTCGGCGACGCGAAGAGCGAGGCGGCAGGGCCATGAGCTACCAGCTTGACAATGTTCGGATGGTCGCCGAGCCGCTCCATCACGTAGCCCTCGGACTTCACGAGCTGGGAGGGCGTGAAGCTGGTGTTGTGCGTGCGAGACGGTGAGATGACCTTGACGGCGAACTCGGAGGCCGCTCCGCGGGCGTTGCGGCGCCCTGCAAACACCTGGCCCCACGTCCCGTCGCCAAGGCGGTGCGAGGAGCAGCGAAAGCGGCAGGCAGAGGGCACGCTGTTCAAGTCGTCGCCCGGCTGATCGCACCGCGCGGACGCCTTGAGTTTTTGCACCTCCTCCTCGCTGGGAAAGTATGGCATGGGGTCGTCGGCCGAAGCGACTCGAGACGCTGCTTCCCGTCGGGCCGAAAAGCAAGCAATCGAACAGCGTGTCAAGGTAGAATTTTGCTAGCATTTTCAAGAAGAGACACACATTTCTTCACACACCTCTCCTTAAAATCCCTGTGTGGTGGCGGCGTGCCGTCCTCCCATCCCTCCCTTGGGTTGTCTGTTTTGCTTCTTTCTTTCTTTCTTTACACATTTCAAGAGAGAGAGGCAGCTCGGCCGACAAGGTCGCAAGGCGCGCTACCTACCCGACGCTGGAGCACGACGACCACGACCCCGGCCCCCTCGCAGAGCGCATCAGGCGCGACAAGCGCGAGTTCTCCATTTTCGGCGCAGAGCGCATCAGGCGCGACCGCTCCTCCGACGACTCCTCCTCCGACCGCGACTCATGCGGCACCGGCTCCACTAGCGAGGCGAATGACATATTCGACACCCTCGAAGACCATCTCGGCTACGGTTCCGACTCCGGCTCCGGCTGGTAGTCGACAAGCTGCCGAGCGCAAATCACTCTGTGTGACACATTTCTTGTTGGCTTCTCAAAATCTCTCTCTCACATTTCTTGTTGGCTTCTAAAAATCTCTCTCTCGCATTTTCAGTATATGTCTTACGAACATACCCGATTTTACAACAAAGCTCCCTCGATCACGATGTCAACCCTCCCCAAGGCGGCGTGCCGTCCTCCCATCCCTCCCTTGGGTTGTCTGTTTTCTTTCTTTCTTTTTACCCTCCCCAAGTCGTTTGTTGATCTGGTGCTTGTTAGGGCTTGCCGATCTCTTCTCTTTCTAGGGCTTGAGAGTGGCCTGCCATGTCTCAGGAAGGACTGTGGTTGCAGGAGAGTACCACCAACCATC